ATCATTCTTATACATCACATCAACTTTAATTCACTATTCATCAACTCACATAATTTTAACTACCTCTCATTTCCAATCATTTATCTCTTCCTTTTACATCAAATCAATTTTAATCATTTTATTTTAAATATTATTTTAATACATTCTTAAAGTTCCACTAACAACTAACCATACCACCTCTTTTTAAAATTAATTACGGTTAACCAAAATAACTCACTTTGAACAAATTATTTCATAAACAATCAAACCCTAAGGCTTAAGGGCGTGTTTGTCTACCAGGTATAATTTATTTTGACTGACCATTTTTTTTTAAATTGTGAACTCAAAATTTAATTCAAATTTAAATCAATTCAACACTCTTATTATTATTAATATAATTAAATAATATCATTCAATCATTCTCACACGTCACATCAACTTTTAATTCGCTATTCATCAACTTATATAATTTTAACTACATATAATCTTCCTTTAATATCACATCAACTATTATCTTTACATTTTAAATACCATTTAAATGCAAAATAAAAATTTCGCTCAATCCCTCGCCCAATTAACTATATCCAAAATTAACTCATTTTAATCAATAAATTCAATTAAAATTCAATTTTATTTATATTTCATAGTGTCATTTACATTTATTGTAGAAGAAAAGAAGTTAATATGGTACGGTTTACTATAATAATTCTTTTTTAAAAAAAAAAGTTGAATATTTAATTGGATATTTGTTATTTTGGCGAGCCAATAAAAAAATTAATTCCCCTTGTCTATTATGGTTGGCAAGTCCATAAATAATAGAGAAAAAATAATAAAAAAAAAAATTCGAATCTATTAGACCTTATTTTAAAATTGGGCCCTCTTCTCTTTTTAGTTGAGCCCTGGGCCTATGCCCAAGTCGCGCAGCTGGGCCTATTAATGAATGCAGTTTCATAATTTTGTGATATTATTACAATAGAATATATATCATGATATTTCCAACGATTATCAAAGTAATTATTTATAAATCAGTCCTATGAGGTTTAAGTTTATGTAAGAAATAATGTTTTAAATACCATACGATACCCGCTGATAATACTCAATACCGGTGGTATGTCTGATAATTTTCGATTTTCTCATAATTTTGTCAACTTATTTGCGTAAATATAAAAGTTTTAAAAGATAAGTTGATTTGAAATGGAGGGAAGAGAGGTGAATTCTCTACAAAGGCTGAATGGATGGAATGGGACACCAAACAGGTTACAAATGGTAATGAATCCAGGGCAGACGAACTGTTAGAGGGAATCGGTAGACCAGTGCTCGTTCATCTACACAAGGGGACATTATTGTGGATTGTGTGGTCAGAAATGGCATGGAGAATCAGATTCAATGGGAAGGTCAGCTCACAGGTATTACAAATGCAACCGAAGCAGCTCTGTTAGCTACACATTGGAGTTTGGACAAGCTGAGGGAACTCAACAACATTCGGAATTCAGGTGCTTGTTACTTGAATAATGCAGTTGCAGTCCAAGCTTTGCAGGAAGGGCATGCTAATGGAGCTACTTTTATTCAGTTAATACAACAGATCTTGAGTTTGGCTGCTTGCTTTAACATTGAGAAGTTTATGTTGATGTAATTTTTTTATTTTATTTTTATTGTGTTTTCTGGTGATCTTAGTGGTGTGTGTGACCTTGTTTGGTCTTAGAGGGTAGGAGTTTACTCTTTCTCGTTACCTTTGGGTAGTGTAATCAGTTGATTACTTGTTCTACTTGAATATTTGATGTGAGTTATATAATTTTCGTTGTATGAAAAAAAAAATAAAAAAGCCTTAATTTTAATATTTTTATATTCATATTTATTAATCAATTTTTAAATTAATTAATTAGGTTTATTATAACATGAAATTTAATTAATACGTGTATAAAATCGGTTTAAATGCAGTGAAAATTACCGATTATGATGATCGTGTTATAAAAATTTAAAAAAGGATTAATACAGAGGGTAAGAAAGAGAGACAGAGACCTCCTCCTCCAGCTTGTAGAAGGTGTTGTAGAATTGCCAGTCGGCTCTCTCGAGACCCTTAAATTGATGGACAACCAACTCGAAAACACTCGGGTACGACCCGTAAACCGATATGAAAGATGGCATGTCCCGGGGCTCCAGCGGGGGCAACCCGGGAACCCGAATCTCCTCCTCCTCCACGAGCGGGACCCTCAGATCACCTTTGTGGACGCGGCGGTAAATCTCGTCCACCGCGCACGACTGCGTGAAGAACGCCGCCGCCGCCAGCCCCATTTCCTTGGCCACCTCCAGGCCCCACGGCAGGAAAGGGTCGTACACAACGCAGTCCACGGGCCTGCCCGAGCCCTCCAGGCCCCGGATGGCCTCCTTCAGGGTCGGCCGCCCGTGCTCTTCGAACCGGCCCAGTATGGCCTCCGGCGTCGTGCCGGGCGGGACTCCGCCGTCGAACCCGTCGGAGATGGTGGCGAGGGAGACGTCGGCGGCGCTAGGCGCCAACTGCGTGGTTTTGGCGAGGTGGGTGGTGATGATTAGGGTGATTGCAATCCCTTTGTGTTTGAGGCGTTTGGCGAATTGGAGCATGGGGTTTATGTGGCCTTGCAGTGGATATGGGAGGATAAGGCAGTGAGGCTTTCTCTCCCTTATCTCCTCCATTTTCGGCATTTACTTGTTGAGTAAATTCGGTGTAGTGGTAGTACTATATAGAGTGCAAAAGAAAGAAAATAATAGCCAACCATTATTATAGCGTGTTAATCATCATTTAAATTTATAAAAGAAAAATAATCACCAAATATTTGTAAAAGAGTAATGCTATAAATACGTAATATTACATAAAAGTGTACATAACAGCAACATAGGTTGGCTCAAATTGTAAGCAGCTTGATGTCATTTAAGCAAGGTATCGGGTTCGAGTCCTTGTGGATGCAGAAAACCTCGAGTTCGAGTCCTTGTGGATGCAGAAAACCTTTGTTGCAAGACGCTCCCACCCATAGGCGGAGCTAAATGGGGCGCAGCGAGGCCCGTGGGCCCACCTATTTTTTTGAAAAAAATCAATATATATATATATATAATACTATAAAATGTATAGAAATATACAAAAAAAAATGTAATATATTAATAATTAAAACTTATTAAAAATCAAAATATATATATAAAAATATTATAAAATATGGATAGAAATGTAAAAATATTTACAATATATTAATAATTAAAACTTATTTTCTATGTTGTTTTCATTTAAATTAGTAATATTATTTATTTATTGAAAAATTTACTAACAATCCTTATATTTTAAATTTATAGATAAGCTTTTGAAAATATTTATAATGATTTACTCTTTCTGCTTTTTAATTATAAATCGCTTTAGTTATTTATAAAACAAAGTATTTAGTTGGATTGCTATATTTTATAATTTTGACTTTTTACTCTTTTTTTTTTTTTTTTT